CTGCACAAATACATGTGCAATGCAGGGGCGCATATGTGTACAAGACCATTTACTCACACATATACTCATTCGCAGTATACTGCTTACAATCTATGTTTTATGTATATGGCCACTTAAGTGAATGTGTGCACAGGTTATGGTGTTATGCTTAGCCTGAATTAATCTTTTAAGATTGTATGTTTTCATTTTTCCAAATTTGAGAAGTTAGTACAGGTGAGGGCAGCCAGATGCACCAGCTAGCAACCCTATCGATAAAATAAAGAGAGGTGACAGGAAAGGTGTTGTAGCTGCTGAGGACAATGTATGAGTTCCTCCTTGTCACCATATGCTCGTATGCAGATACACACACCACACACACACACACTCTCACACACACACACAGCTGATCAGTTCATTGATTGAACCATGATTGATCTCCGCTCCTCCCTCAGAGGTCACCTCCCGCCGGAGAACATCGTCCCTTACATCGGCAACAAGATGAAGTACGGCAGCGGCGTTCGCATCAAAGGCTTCGCCGAGGGAATGTGGGAGATCCAGAACACGCCGGGAGTCGGGAGCAAAGTCAAAGTCAGTGTCAGAAGACGTAAAAGACTCACAGCCTCAGATTTTAGGGTCCTTTGGGATTAAAACTGTTAAATAATAAGTTTTAAACTGCAGTCGTACTGTGTCTGACTTACTGATTAATAAACTCAACAGAATTAATCTGAGAAATGCAGCAAAACCCCTCGAAGCCGATTGTTGTTATTTTTACTTTTGTTTTGTCAAAGTTTTTTGTGTAATTTTAATCTGTGAGGACTGAGTTTTGGTTTTAATAGATCTTTTCTGTCCTCAGGTACCAGCACCGACCAACAAACAAACCACACCCCCTAAATCGACCTCTGCAAATAAAGCTCCACCTGCCAAACTGACCGCCGCTGTTAAAGCTACGCCTGCCAAACTGACCTCTGCGAAGCCCGACAGTAAACCTGCTGCTGCTGCTAAAACTCCTACCAGATCTTCGTTAAGATCCGCTCCAGAGAAAACAACAGACTCGGGGCAGATTTCTAAACAGGCTCCGACTTCCAAAGACGTCGCCCCGACAGATTTGTCCGGGACTGTTGCGAATACGAGGAGCAGAAGGGCAGCTGCTAGTGTCGCCCCGTCTGCTAACACCACTCCTACAGACAGTAAGGAGGTGAGAGGTTTATGTCTCTGAGAGTGTTTGATTGATAGAATATCTCCTATCGATCAGCATCGGACGAAGCTGATCAATAGTTGCACAAGGCTTGTTGGTATCTTATTTAGTTTTTAAGTCAAAGACGCAGCAACTTTTACACCAACAGGAACCTTTTTGTGATATTTATTGAATTTCCACACAAAAATGTTTCTTCAGTTAATCTGTAAAGAACCAATAAAGTCCATTTACTTGTCTTTTCCACCATAAGTTTAAGAATGAAACCTTCAGAAGTGTTGACGCCTGTTCTTACCTGTGGAAATTAAACACAGAATGTTTATCTTTTTGTCTCCTCAGGCAGCAGCAACAACGGCGAAAACAAGAACTCCGTCCAAACCGGCTGAGAAACCGACTCCTGCAGACGCTGCAGACAATAAACCGGCTGAAACAAGAACTACGAGAAGATCTGCGGCTGAGAAGAAAACTCCAGACTCCAAACGAGCTACTGAGAAGGTTGAATTATCATCAACTTCCACCACTACAGATACTGAAGAGGCTACAAGCGCCGTCACTACCAGGAGCAAAGTATCCGTGTCCAAGGTAACTACAAGAGCTGCTCGTACAAACACCGAGGACCGACTGATACGTTTAGAATAACTGGTGGTGAATTTAATTTAATTTAACTAAGTACAATTTTGAGGTATTTCTTTTTCCCTTTTATGCTACTTTATATTTCAACTCAACTACATTTTGGAGGCAAATATTGTACATTAATTTAATAATGTTAGTTTGCAGATTCACTTTAATAATACAACATATAAATCAACTAATAAATCACAATGTATTGTTATAGATTAAGCTATAAAGTAATTAATTAGCTCCACATTTAACAGCCATAATATTCAATAATGATAGTAATCATACCGGGTTAGTGGTGTGTTAAGAAGTATTTATATACTCAGTATCGACCAAAACACAAAGTTCAGATATCAGGGAGGAAGAAATGGTTTCAGAATATCTGTAATTTATTTTATTGAGAATCAGATTATTAAATAACAGACAATCGGACAAATGCTGAAGATCGGATCCGATTTTTAGTCCATCGCTAAAAAACACGACTACTATCAATCCAGCAGAGAGCAGGAAAGAGTTAATAAACGGACACGGTGCGACGTCCTGCAGCGCAAACGCACAATTAATCCGACCTCTGTTTCATTTCTATAACTTTGAACTGTGGGAAGATTTCCTGGACGAGCCCCCATTTATGTTCCGACTCGAAGGAAAGAAACATAAAAGTTATTTATAACGAGGAAATCAGAATAATTCTTACAAACATAAATCTGTCTCTCCGTCTCAAAGCTGTATATTATCTGAATACGATGGGAGACTGCGGCACATTTTATTATTATTACCATTATGTTAAATTAAAACTTAAGACCGGAAGTTTCTACAATCGAGACGACGTTGTTTTAATATTACCTTTCATTTAATGTCCTGTTAGCAACCAGCTTACATGTTGTTGATGGTCGAGTTGACGTCGGTCTTCAGATTAATCCTTTGTGTTTTTTGTCAGGATGTCGCTGAGCAGAACAAGAGGAGGTCTTCTGCTGGTCCTGCTGTCGCTCCAGGTAACTAACACAGGCTGCCAATAATCAATAATCACATGAATCAGTTCTCCTCAGGATCAATAAAAGGGCACAAACTCAGGTCGGGTGTGTTTTTTCTACAACAGTCGGCAAGAAACTGAAGACGACAGAATCAAAGTCTGCGCCGACACAAATGTCCAAGAACAACAGAGGAAAGAAAGAACAGGAGGAGGAGGAAGAGGAGGAGGAGGAGGAGGAAGAGGAGGAGTCATCAGAGAGACAGGGAGTCAAGACGAGAAGAGAACAGAAGGAGGTGCAGAAGAAGAAAAGTCAGGACGGCAGCAAAGGAAAGAAAGAAGAGACATCAGAGAGCAAAGGAACAAAGAGTAAAGAGGAGGAGAAAGGGAAGAAAATAAAGCAGGACGAAGGTGCGGAAGGAAAGAAGTCAGCAGAGAGCCGAGGGATAAAGACGAGGAGGGCGGAGAAAGAGGAACAGAAGGAGGAGGAGGCGAAGAAAGCTAAACAAGATGGAGAGGAAAAGAAAGAGGAGAGGACGAGGAGAGAAACTCGGTCGGAGAGCGAAGGAAGAAAAAGAGAAAAGGAGGTTTCAGAAGAGAGCCGGGGAACAAAGAGGAAGAGGGAGGAAGAGATGAAGAGAACAAAGGAGGCTGGAGAGGAAGGAAAGAAAGATGAGAAGACTGATGATGAGGAGGAGAAGGAGGGCAGTTCTGTGGACAAGGAGGTAAAACTTTCTCTTCACCTCATTCAACTCTTATTTAACTTATTAACTAAATGACATCAACATTTAAATCTAATGCTACAAAAACAGATAAAGTGTCATAAATAAACTGATTAATTCAACAACAAAGGCAATAAAATCCCTAAAAATATGAACTCACAATAATTTAAAGATCGATTATCGATGGAAAATGTCCAGAAATATAATTTAAATCTAATAAAACAATAACATTGATTCTTTCATGTGCAGCGACAGCGCCACCTGGCGGCCAAGAGGGAGAGTTTACTGAAATCTCTGAAAGGTCTGCTCAAAGCCGGGAGAGTAACGAGGAGGAGGGAGGCGATGAAGAGCTTGCAGTAAGACACACACACACACACACCACACCACACACACACACACACACACACACACACACACTTATCTGAAGTTTACACTGGGTTCAATTGGATATAATAGATACCT